TTTCTTGTTTCCAGCCTTTGTATTCCAATCACCAGTAATTATTGATACATCTTGATAGCATATTTGATTAATTTCAGACTGAAGAAGTCGTTAAAATTCTTTATTTTCATCATCACTAGTTTTAGTGGTTGGTGTGTAAATTTGAATAATAATGGTATTAATTGATCTTCCTTGTAGGTGTATGGATATTATTCTATCACAGACAGTGTTGTACTTCAAGATAGGTCATGAAATGTTCTTTTTGATGATAAATATGATGCCATTCCTCTTCTATCTGTCACTCTCAGCATAGTAAACCATATGATTGTCAGATTCAAAATGGCCAATACCAGCACATCTCAGTTTACTAATGCCTAGAATATCGATCTTTATGTGCACCATTTCATTTTTGACAACTTCCAATTTTTCTAGATTCATACTTTGTACATTTCATGTTCTGATTATTAATAGATGTTTACAGCCTTTCTGCCTCAATCTAAAGTGTTTTCTATCAGCAAATGAAGGTCCTGAAGGCTTTACTCCATTCACATCATTACAGTTAACTCTATTTTGAGGCAGCTCTTTCCCAGTTGCACTTTGAGTGACTTGCAACTTGAAGGGCTAATCTTCCAGCACTTTATCTGACATTATTAAAATGTTATGCATAATGTTTCAATATTCAATATTCTTGTGCTATCTGACAGTGTTCTCCTATTTATAAGGTTTTCAGGCATTAAGAAACAGTCCATCTCACCTTCTTCCTAGTCTGCTTTCATCTGGAAGTTCTGCTGAAACCTGTCCACCATGGGTATACCCTGCTTGTATCAGTGGTATAGCTTCCAGCATCACAGAAATACACAAGCCACCACAAACTGACAGACTAGTGGTGGAAACTATTGATAAGCATGATGAATTAACAAAAGCCTTTAATTTCACTCCATCCTTCCTGTTGTTACAAGTGCTGTCACGTCAGTTCCAACTCATAGTGACTCTGTAGGGGTTCCAAGGAGCAGCTGGTGGGTTTGAATTGTTCATCTTGTGCTTCACAGTCTAGTGCTCATCCTACAGTGCCACAAATAGCAAAGACATAAATCTACTCAGGCAAGTAGAATGGAATGAAAATCATAGCAAAAATTTAGAGCTAGAAAGGTGAACACATGATAACTAACTTAGCAGACCAGGAGAAGTAGAAATCCAAGTCCAGTAAATTGTACTACAGGACTTCAGAATGGCTCAGGCATTGGCATACGCCAAAAGTGTGGTGCATGTAGGACTGAACAGAAAAAGATCGTTGATGATCTATGTAAGAAGTAGGTTCTCAGCTCCTCTCCACCACCACATGAGCCAGTATACTTCCCTTACCCGTCCTCAATGGAAAGACTGACCCAGAGGACCTCTGCACTTAGGGATACAAGGTACAGTTGAGGGAGAGGATACTGTACAGGAAATAGGGAGATGAATAAAATTCTACTTATAGCAAGTCTCCTAGCCACCCAGCTCCTGTATACTGGGACGCAGCTTTATTAGCACCTACTGCCCTTGGCAGTTCAAAAGATGTCTCTATAGTGAAACTCATCAGGCCAAGAGAACAAACTGACTGGAGGCTTTAAAAAAGTTTATGGAAAAATTTAATTAAAACATGGAAATTTTCCATGAACTTTCTGAAGTCCCTTCTCATATATTGATGTCATTATTGCTAAGTGCCATCGAGTTGGTTCTGACTCATAGTGGCCCTGTATAGGGTTTCTGAGGAGCTACTGGTGGGTTTGGACTGCCAACCTTATGGTTAGCAGTCCAATGCTTATCTTACAATGTCACTACAGAACTACCTTATATTTTGATAGCGACTACACAGTTCTCCAGTAATAGATTAAATACTTATACCATGAAAAGTTCACAATTGGTTGTTGTTAAGTGCCATCAAGTCAGTTCTGATTCATCACGGCCCTGTAAAGGGTTTCTGAGGAGCAGTTAGTAGGTTGTGGTTAGAAGTTCATTGCTTATCCTACAGCACCACACCAGAACTCCTTCACAATATTAAGAGATCCTTAAAGGAAAGAGAAAGAGCCTAATATCTCTCAGAAAGGAAGAATAAATCAAATGCAAAATCCAGGATCACATGGAATGGAATTTCTCAACAACGCCTTCAATTTCTGAGGGAACATTATTTTCAAGAAACATTTTCTATCTAACTAAACCATCACCAAATTTGAAGGTATAATGAAGACATTTTGCAACAGAAAAGGTCTCAAAATCTTTACTTAAACAGTATTCTTTCTCATAAAACTACTAGAGGATGTTGTTGTTGTTAAGTGCTATCGAGTTGGTTCCAATCCATAGCGACCCTGTACAGGGTTTCCGAGGCTGTAAATCTTTACGGGAGCAGAACGCCTCATCTTTCTCCCACAGAACTGCTGATAGTTTCGAACTGCTGACCATGAGATTAGCAGCCCAACTTGTAACCACTACACTACCAGAGCTAATAGAGAATGTAGACCACTAAATTGAGAGAATAAAGCATAAAATAAGCAATAGGTTTCAAAAAAATCAGATAGTTCAACACAAGAAAGAGATAAAGGGAGTCTCCTGGCTGACAATGAAGTCAGCAGCTGTTCAGCAGACCTAGAGAACAATTGGTCCATAGAGGAACAAGAAATAACTGTAAGAATGAAATTATTATCTGATTATATGTTTTAATGTATTGAGGGAAGACTTACACTTCTGCCTGAAAGTTGTGGAAGCAACTACTTATAAATACTTAGAAAGCTAAGCAAGTAAAATACCCCAATTTAATCATTTTTAAATTGTCAACAGAATATTGAATAAGTAAATAAATGTAATTATAGTATACTATAGGACTCAGTTGTGAGTGTTTGCATGTTATAACAAATGGACAGCAAATCCCAACACATGACAGCTCTATGATATGATTAGGGCTCCGTCTAGCTCATCACCCCTCTACTTCTGTTGATGTGGGCTCAGGTCCAAGAGAACAGCTGGAGCTCCCATCATCGCATTTTTGAAAAAAAAAAAAAAAAGAAAACAAATTAAGGTTGAAAACTAAAATGGAAACGCTGAGCTGTGATCACACAACAGAGTTCCAATGTAACTCTTGGGAGAATGGGATAGTGGAAGTGTATTTGGAAAGAAGGGTACAAAAGAGTTAAAGCCTCATCTTCTGTTGTCAGGAGATTATGTGTAACATTGGAAAAATACAGTAATGGCAGTGCAAGCATGTTATTTAGAACTATGGAAGTAAATACCATAGCTAAAAGGGTTGAGAATAAGAATCAGCATTGGCATGATGATACAAGCTATTGGCTTATTTGGTTTCTTAAATGATATAAATACATGGCTCATCAACCTAACAAACAACACCCTATTTCTAAATAAAGTTATATCGACAGGTATAGGAGTTAGGATTTCAACACATTTTAGGAGCAGGGGGAAGACATAATTCAATCCATACAAGTGGTAATGGAGAAAGGAAATTCCAATGGTGAAGCCTGTGTAATCTGGTTCCCCTGTCATAGACTCTCTCATACTCCTGTGCTCTTCTTAGCTCAATTTATGACCACATATTTATCTGTATGAATGATTACTTTCTGTCCCACCCCCACCCCCATAACCCCATAATTCCATGTGGGCTGAGTCAATAATGCTTTGTTCTCTATTGTAGCTCTAGAACCTAACAGCATCTTATATATAAGCACTTAGATTCCTAGAATGAATGAAAGACTGTATTATCAATCTACTAACTTGATTCCAGGTGCCACAGTCAATTCAGAGATGGTCAAAACAGGGAAGGGTTGGCTATTCCAAAAAGTAGCTGCTTCTGTGTACCTTCACAATCCAGGAATTCAATCAAGAAAACCAGAGAAATTAACAGTTGAAATCTACTTTGTACATCAGCTCATAATTTCCTCCCTCTATCTTAATGGGGCCATATCTAACATGAACTATGGTTACATAACTAATTTTGTTCAGTATATAATTAATTAGGTGGATTTGCAGTGACTGGGGCCTCAAATGCATCTCTATGCATTCATTCTCAACTGAAAGGAACAGCTGTCTAATCCCAAAATGTGCCTTGTAAAACTAAAACAAAGTTCATTGTGTCTGGAGGTTTCTTCCTTTATGAGTTTTAACAGCAAAGGATTCTCTTTAAAAAACGTGATACTCACAAGAGGAATTTAGTTACTTGTAGAGTCAGCCCTCATAAGGCTTTGGGTATCATGGGCGGGATCAGGGGATTGGGTAATCACACAGTGATTACTCTGATGTTGGTTCAAAAATGATCACTAGGAGCCAGAAGTGGCCTCCAAATCTCTATTACCTCCAAAGTGACTTTAACTCAACCTGTGACCCAAGAGCAATGTACCTGCTATGGAAGAAGCACAGAGCATGCACCCTAGCCCTATTTCCAGCCACAATCCCATTCATGAGCCCCAACTATATAGATCTAGCTCTGCTATTACCCTTCCTTTTGACAAGATCTTAAATATCTTATGATAAAAAAGGGAAAAACTTTCATCATTCCACTAGCTTTCCTTTATAAGCATCAAGTCAACTTCTGGTACGGGGCTTAGTTCCTGTTGCAAAATAATTTCTGGATTATGAATCCAGCTTATTTTCATTGATTCTGGGCCCATGAAATAGCAAACAAGATTCAGAAACCATCCTTCTCACACCTTAATGAGGAGCTTAGTGCTAAGGATGGCCAGGCCCACAATCTTCCCATGGAGAGCACCGTCTCATTGTACATATATCATCAGGTCAGCGACAGCTAGCTTTGGGGGTGGGGGAGGTGGGGTGGGGGAGGGAGTGTTTCTATGACCTTTATTTGGAGTGTCCTGAAGATAGAACTCAAGTAACTCTGAGCTTATTCCATGTAAGTAGAAATGTGCAGACCCACAGTGCACAGGCTGTGAATATCAAGCTGTCAATGAACTGAAGAGGAGGGGATGAGGAGGCAGGTGGATCCCACATCACATTTCCTGTTCTTTGTTCCCAACTCCCAGGCCTTAAGAGGCATGGCCATTGACAACCACCTGCTGGCGCTAAGGGAACTCGCCCAGGAAATTTGCAAGGAGCTACCTGAAATGTTCACGGAGGAAATGTACTTGACGAGCAATCACTTTGTCCTCTCTACCAGCCAGGTAACACTGAGAGGGAATGTGCGCTTCACAACTTGTTAACTTTCTGAAGAGTTTATTGCCTGTATCAATGTCCTAGGGTGGCTATGACAAAGTACCACAGACGAGATGGCTTAAAGCAGCAGAAATTTATTGTCTCATGATTTTAGAGGACAGAGTCGGAATTCAGGGGGTCATCAGACTATGCTCTCTGAAGGCTCTAGGGGAGAATCGTTTCTGTTCTCCCCCAGCTTCTGGCAGCCCCAGGCATCATTCCAATCTCTGCCTCTAATGTAATATGACTGTCTCTCTGTGTGTCAGACTCTATCTCTTTCCTTCTTATAAGGACACCAGTCATTGGATTAGCACTCACCCTACTCCAATATGACCTAATGTTAACATAACAGTTGCATTTACAAAGACACACATTTTCTACGGCTGCTGTCACCGAGGGTGGCTTTAAAGAACAGAAATGTACTTTCTCACAGTTCAGAAGGCTAAAAGTAAAAGCTCAACTTATAGAGGAAGACTGTTGGCTCTGGGGAAAGAGCCTTGTTTCCTGGCATTCCTCAGTTCTTTGGTGATATTCATGTGCTATCGATTTCACCCCATTTGTGAGCACTTAGATATCTAATCTGCTCTTTTTATAACTCAGAAATAACTGGGTTTAGGACACAATTTACACTGGTGTGACCTCAGTAACATGACAAAAAAAGTCCTATATCCAATATAAATAAGGTTATATCCACAGGTATTTAAAAAACAAAACAAAAACACCCCCAAACTCATGCCATTGAGTTCATTCTGATTGATAGCAACCCCGTATAGCACGTCTGAGGCTGTAAAGCTTTACAGGAACAGATGCCTCATCTTTCTCTAGCAGAGTGATTGGTAGGTTTGAACTGCTAACTTTGTGCTTAGCTGTCCAGAGCTTATCCTAAAGTGCCACCAGAGCTCTTTACTCACAGGTATAGGGGCTTGGATTCCAACAAAATTTGGGGTGGGGGAGCACAATTCAATCCACAACAGACCCTATTTCCAAATTAGTCACTTTTCACAGGAACCAGGGGTTGGGGCTTGAGGTTATCTTTTGGGGGACGTAATTTAGCCCCTTACAAGGATTGAGCCATTGTCAGGTAAACCTTAACTCTGCTTCTTATGAGTCACAGGACGAACAGCAAAATGATTTAAACTCACAGAGCACTGACGTCCTCACCTTCTAAATGGAAGAATCTTAGACTCCACCCTAGCAGAGGTGGGACAAAAGAAGCCCACCCAGCATGATGTCTAAGCCATTATGCTATATACGTTTCAAACTATGGTCTAAGAGGTAGCGTTATATCATGGTGACCACGGGCTGGGAGTGCAGTTGTGGCTCAACCAGATGCAACAACTTGGGTAGGAAATCCAGCATTGTGCCTTGCTGGATGAGGCCCTCCAAGCCAGTCTAAGACATTACAACCCAAAACCTGGATGATGAACCTTCCAGCCCCTAACCAGGGCTATGGGCTCGTTCTGCTGGAGGACCACCAACTTAATGACAGAAAGAACCCTTTTAGAGAGAGGCAGCAACTTAGGAGAAGGGATGAACCAGTTGTTGCTGAGTGGCTTCTGACTCATGGGGACCCATGTACTTGCTTCTTTCAGGAGTAAATCACCTGCTCTTTCATCTCAGACACTTCTGGGTGAATAAGAACCTGCAACCTTTTGATTAGTGGTGGTGTTAGGTGCTGTTTAGTCAGTTCTGACTCATAGGCACTCTGTATAGGGTTTCTGAGGAGTGGTTGGTGGGTTTGAACTGCTGACCGTGTGATTAAAACCGACGTTGCAATCCAGTGCATTATCCTGCACCACCACATCAGGACTCCTCCTAGGAGAGGAGATACTTCCACTGTAATGTACTAAAAACTCCATGTTATCCATGTTATTTGGGCAACCAAAGAGACTGATAAAATTGTGTTGGAGGTTAAAATCCCACTCAGTAATTCAACTTTGTCATGACAGCAGTGAGCTTGGAGGTGTGGATGAAGGAGGGCAAGATATTACACCAATTCTTTAGCAAACTATCCGCAGGCAAAGGTGCTGTGTGTTTAAAACAAACCCCGTCCTGTACCTGCCCATGAATGCTGTTTTCCTCCTAGGAATAGCTAATACATTTAATCTGGGGTGTGGTGGGTTTTGTTTGTTTTTTTTTTCAACTGGAAAAAAATAGCATTTATGATTTGAATATGTTCAGAAACATATTCCTTGGTTTGTGATCCTGGAATACAAAATCTCAGAGCTGTGAATTCAAAGCATATTAGGCACATAACTAAACCTCCAGTTAATAGCAATCTTCGAAATCCCCAATGCTAGCTAATTGTGCGTGGCCAGGCTGTGGAAGGATATCAGAGCAGCCAGGCAATCCTGATAGTAATTAAGGATCTGGGGAGAGTGACAGAGAGACGATGGACCAGATTTCTTCCAATTCTTAAATGACTCTCTCTGGGAAGTCATTTAACTGTCAGTGCCATCAGGGGGCCATTTAGTAAATTACTTAGATTGCCTCGGTGGCTTAAATGGCCCACCGGTGAAGAAAACAATCAACTCAGACCCTGTGCCAACACCCTCTGGGAGCGGCAGACTCTACAAAGACAGCATAATCCATGCTGGGAATGGTTTTGTAGCTCCTAATCCCTGTGCTTTCTAAATGGTAACTTAGATGGGATTCTTTTCTGTTCCCACTCTTGCTCAGACAGTTGTTGGATTTGGTTTCTTCACTCAGACATACAGGTGGGAAAGAGTTAATGAGATGAACAGATATGAGGTTGAGGCTTCTAGGTTGTCTGAGCACTCCTTGTCATCTGAGTATCCCTGTTGTCTGAGCACCCTCATTGTTCCAGTGTTCCACATTGTCTGAGTGTCTCGCTTTGTTCCAGCATCCCACATTCTATCTTGCTCTCGGGTTGCATTTCAGAACAAGCACCCCTGACCTGTCATTCCATCCAGGTGCCTACAACCATGGAGATGTTCTGCTGCTATGGTCCTGTGGTCCCCGATGGGTACGGTGCCTGCTATAACCCTCAGGCGGAAAACATCCTCTTCTGCATCTCTAGCTTTCACAGCTGCAAAGAAACCTCTTCGACCAAGTTTGCAGATGCAGTGGAACAAAGTCTCCTTGAAATGCAAAAGCTCTGCCTTCTGCCCCATCCTGCTGTGGACAAGTCATCGACAGCCAAGGAAAAGGCTGCAAGCCCCAGCCTGTGATTTACTGCTAAGTTTCATTTCCCACCAAACCCTGAATTCTGCAATTGCCAGACCCTTCCAAACTTCTGCTTCCACTCCTCACCCAGCTTTCCGCAGTGCCCTGATCCTCAGGCTCAACTCACAGACTACTTGGAGGCATCACAAAAACTGGAGTTTTCAGAGAGAAGGGTCCCTCTTGTGCCATTTCTTGTCAATGCACAATGGGGACTAACTGAGAAGTAAACCCAGCTTGGCCCAAGTTGGCCTGGGGGAGGTAGGGCTAGTCCTTGTCCCACTGGTAGCCCCCACCCAAAAGGACTCAAGGTGTCCTGGTGAAGTTTTTGTACAACAAAAGATGAGTCGCCCTATTATATGCAGTGTACCAAATTAATCACAAAGAAAGAATAAGGTAGGGGGCTTTGTTCTCAAATTCCAAGCATTCCATTCTGATTTTTGCCTTAAGGGCAGACTTTACTGATGCTAACCAAAAGGTCAGCAGTTCAAATTCACCAATCACTTCCAGGAAATACTATACAGGGTCACTACAAGTCAGAACCAACTTGACAGCAGTTAGTGTAACAGAACTACTGGTGCAGTGGTTAAGCACTCAGCTGATCACTAGAAGGTCAATGGTTGAAACCCAGCAGGCACTGCATGGCAGAAAGATGTGGCAGCTGGCTACTGTTGTTGTTAAGTGCCAGTGAGTAGGTTCTGACTCACAGCTGTGAGAACCATTGTCGATACTCCAGATACTTCTTCTGTCCTTCTTGGTTCTGAGGTCACCAATGAGTTATCAGAAGTGCTTACTGACAAACACTCAAGAAATCTAATCTGTATTCATTTTAGGAAGAGCGAGGCTTTTTTATTCGATGTTGTGAAATCGGGCACCAAACCCAGAAGATGCAGACAGACACAACACATAGCAGTTTTTATTCTGCTAGACTGAGAAAGTCCTTCCCCTGGCTCCTCACTGACCATTATGGGGTTAACAATCCTTTCTTGATGCGCCTACTTTGCCTTGACTTTCTTATTTAAAGTCCCTAGACTCTGAACAGATTTGTTCCCCCTCCCCCAATTCACACACAACCCCCCCCCCCCAGCTCACATACCTCAGATGCATAGGCCACTGTTGGTATGTTAATCAACAATCTATGTCTGCTCTAGCAGCTTCCTGGACCCCCTTATTCCTGAAGATAAACCCTTTTGAGAATTTATTTCTCAATGATGCTATACAAGGTTTCCAAGGAGCAGCTGGTGGGTTTGAATTGCAGATAGCAGTCCAATGCTTATCTTACAGTACCATACCAGGACCCCAGCCCCCAAAATTCTACCTATAGGGTCCTATAGGGGCATAATGAGTAATAATTGACTCCATAGCAGTGAGTTTGATTTGGGTTGAGTTTATACATCCCCTGTTACACACACACACACACACACACACACACTCTCTCTCTCTGACCCATGAATGCATTTCACCTTTTCATTCCAACGTAAGCCTGCAGTTGAGTTAAGAATATCTAGCCAGGCTTTTCTGAAAGGGAAGAAACTTTAGTCTGCTACTGCCTGTGGTGGTGGTGGTTATGTGCCGTGGAGTCGGTTCCGACTCATAGTGACCCTGTATGGGGTTTCGGGGGCTGTAAATCTTTATGAAGCAGAAAGCCTCATCTTTCTCTTGAGGAACAGCTGGTAGTTTTGAACTGCTGACCTTGAGGTTAGCAGCCCAACTTGTAACACTAACAGAGCTCATTGATACTGCCTGTAGTCATTGGGACTCATTCCTGCTCTTTGCTCCCCAGGCAGCCTCAGGGATAGCCAGGGACTGAGGGACAAGAGCAAACACAACCCCAGTGGGAGCTGCCTTACAAGGATATAGGGGCCAGTGCTTCCCAAGGGCCCTGCCACTGTGCTTTTGTATCCTCCCCCCCACCCCACCCCTCATGGAGGAGGGAAAAAGTTGCTTTGTTTTTCTGTTATTGTAAAAAAAAAAAAACCAACCACTATGATATCCATTTCAGAAAATGGCTCCAGTGGCCCAGTAGCCCAAGCAACTTAACTTGGAGGGTGTTGTTCAGGAGTCAGATTACAAGTGGGGTGGAGGTACTTGATTCAAAGGAAGGTTCTTGGTTAGCTCAGGACCTGCACAGAAGGAGGAGGAGATGGCCAGGCTCAGAGTTCACAGGACCTTGGGGGCACTACACACATCTGTAGTAGGGAGAGTCAGAATTGCGATTGTCCTAGCAGGGTGGGGCTGGGATCGCAGAGCATATTTTTGTGGGAAACCTAAAAGGGCAAGGGAAGGAGAGAGAGGAAGCAACCAGAAAATCAAAATTGCACGAAGCGAAGCCAGACTGTACGTACCCAGAGGCACCCAGCTATCACTGGCCCTGCAGTCTGCCTTGCTGTGCCATGCTGAGCTCAAGAACCTGTAGGGATCTCTTCCTTAGGCCACTGTGAAAGTGCTCTGCACTTCGACCTCGACCTCGATTGAAGCAGGTGGGGCAGGCATTTTGATCTTTATTCAGGTCTTTGTGTATACAAACAGCTCAAACCAATGAATTCCTTAAGCCCCTACTTCTGGATTTCAGGCTCAAAGAGAGTTTGGAAAAAAGGTTTATATTGGACAATCAGGGAGATTTTGGTATTGCCCTTCAAATGTGTCAGCTTGACTAGAGGATCTGCTCCCTCTCTCAGTGGTCCACCTTCCCCCTGCCATTGAGAAGTTGCTACCAAATGCCCAGAAACCTCAGAGGGTCTGGGAGTCATTATCCACCTGCCATAAATTAGACAAAGACACTTGTCTGTTTTTACCAAATGACCTGAATATGGAGGCCAGAATTGTCTGGCTTCCCTGGATTCCTGGGCAACCAGAAATCTCAGGCTTTTGGGTCAGGAAATCCACTGATTTGGGGTAGTGGATTTAAATGCCCAGAGCCTCGAGTCCCTTCACTGTTAAATGAAGATAAGAATGACACCCACCTTATGAGGTGGCGAGTGTCAGGAAAATATCCTTGAAGGACCTTGCACCAGGGAGTGGGCATGGGTACCCACCATTAGGAATGACTTCCCTTGCAGGAAATAGTTGGGTAACTTTGTGTTAAATGATTCCCTATGGACTACAGAACCAAACTCCTGTCTGCTACTCTCCAAACAAAGGAACTGTAGCTCACTCTGTGTATTCGAATAGCAAACCATACACTGCAAGGACTTTTGAGGGCTTCAGACAGTGTGGCTAGCAGGTACTGTCAGGAGGGGATACCTCTTCTCTCTAAGGAAGTGGTTGGAAGCTGGTCTTCCCCCTTCAAGAGCAGGCTGGTACACTGAATCTTTACCCAAAGGCAATGCTGAGCTATCAAATGACTCATGAACCCCATAAAGGAGACTAGGCTATGTGTTCCCAAAGAGATGGAAAAATGAAACCTGGTCAGAGTCATTTCAGAACTGTGATGCATAATAAAAATGTATGTGGCCACCTTATAATTCTGCTAAGTTGCCAAAATATATAAAGTTGATATTTTAGTTCTATTTTTATAAGATAGTTCTAGATTTATGGCAATATATAATGTGTATTTATAGCCTTCCAAGTTTGTCATAGTTTTGTGCTTTAAAGAAATATATGTATGATTAAAGAACTGTATATTGAAAGTATTATATTCAAATTATTTATGACTGTAAGCCTGTATTCAATAAAAACCAATGCCAAGAAAGATGATGTTGGTCATGGTTTCTTCACAAAAATGCTACATTTTGTTTTGTTTTGTTTTACTGTAACATTTAGAGCTGGGCTAACAATCCATTTGCCTTTGTATGGTGTCACCAGCAACAGCAGCAGACGTCTTAGAAATACATGGACAGGAAGAGAAAAGAGAACTTCTGAGGTCTCTCCTACCATATCGAATGGAGCCAAAGGGTGGATGGGATTGGGAAAGAAGGCTTTATGGGATGCTTGTGATAAGGTTGACAGAAGACTAGGTATAAAAATGGGTGTCTCTGCATAAGTACCCCCAAGCAGCAGGAAGTGACAGGAAGGGAGAAAAAGCATCAGATTAAGAGAGTGGATACCTGGATCATATACCCAAGTCTCCCTTCAGCTTGCTATGGATTTCATCTCTTTAAGTCTTAGTTCCCTCAACTGTAAAACTGAGTGTTGATATCCATACCACCCACTTCCAGAGATGTGGTAAGATGACATGAGATAGCTATTGTTGGAAAACATTGGGAGTGATGTAAAAAGTAAGCACTCTTAGTCTAGGCTCATGACACATGGCACACAGATATAGGCCAAGCTGCAAGATCCCCTCCACAGCTATGAAAATCGGCAGAACCAGAACTGAGATATGTCCAAATGTAAGTCCTTAGTACTTTCCAATCAGAGTCTAAAATTAACCTTCAATTGTTATAAAGGTAGGTCAAAAAGTATTGCTATAAAATAATGTAAAAAAATGCCATGTATGTATGAACTGGAACACTAGTAGCAATATATATATATATTATGGTATACCCTCATATTGTTGTTGTTGTTAAGTGCCGTCGAGTCGGTTCTGACCCATAGCGACCCTGAACTGGGTTTCCGAGGCTGTAAATCTTTACAGGAGCAGAAAGCCTCATCTATAGGGTCAGGGAAATGGGAGAGAAAGGACAGAATAGGAGCAAAGTAATGTGTGTTAGCCCTTCTTTATCACATGTGGCTCCAAAATACCCAGCCACGGAGAGACGGTCAACAGAAAGAGGAGAGTACAGACAAGTGTACAAATGCTCAGTATAATAACAACAACAACAACAACAAAAAAACACCCCACCACTTCACCTTGTTTCTGAAGTTCCCTGTGAGGTGGATATTGACTACCAGTTGCCACTGAGTTAATCCTGATTCATTTGTGTCAGTAAGAATTTTAGTCCTCTTTGCTTTCAACAAGCAATGTTGTATCATCTGCATATCATCGGTTGTTAACAAGTCTTCCTCCAATCCTGATGTCACATTCTTCTTCATATGATCCAGTTTCTTGGATTCAGCACACAGATTGAATTAGTAATGGTGAAAGAATACAACCCTGGTGCAAAACTTTGCTGATTTTAAACTATTCAGTGTCCCCTTGTTCTGTTCAAATGACTGCCTCCTGGTCTATGTACAGGTTCCTCATGAGCACAATTAACTGTTCCAGAATACTCATTCTTTGCAATATTGTTTATAGCTTGTTATCATCCACACAATCAAAAACCTTTGCTTAGTCAATAGAGCACAGGCAAACATCTTTCTGGTAATCTCTGCTTTCAGCCAAGATCCATCTGATGTTAGCAATGCTATCCTTTGTTCCATGCCTCCAAATCCAGCCTGAACCTCTGGCAGCACCCCATCAATGTATAGCTGTGGCCGTTTAAAAATTATCTTTAGCAAAATTTTACTTGCATGTGGTATGATTGTCTGATGACTTCCACATTCCATTGGGTCACCTCTCTCTAGAATGGACACAAATATTGATCTCTTCCAGGTATTTGGCCAGATAACTGTCTTCTAAATTTCTTGGCATAGATGAGTGAGTGCCTCCAGTGCCACCTCAGTTTGTTGAAATTGTATTCTATCAATTCCTGGAGGCTTGTTCTTTGCCAATGCCTTGGACCTCTTCTTTCAGTATCATGACTCTTGATCATATTCTACCTCTTGATATGGCAGCCATCGCTGCTGCCACTGTACCAACCCATCTTGTTTGGGGTCTCCCTCTTTTTTGCTGACCTTCCACTTACCAAGTGTGATAGTTAAGGTTTTGTGTCAGCTTGACTGGGCTAGAATTCACAGTGGTTTGGCAGTTGAGATGTGGTGATGCCCGTGGCGAGATCAAATGCAGGCAGAGTTAACTCTATGATGATTAGCTATGAGCAGGCATAATTAACTCTATGATGATTGGCTATGAGCAAGCATAGTTAACTCTATGATAATTGGCTATGAGCAGGCATAGTTAACTCTATCTCTTCACCACTCGTCTGTCAGTTTGTCATATTGTCAGTTTGTCATACTGTCAGTTTTTGTGTTGCAGTGATTCTGGTAGCTATGCTACTGGTATTTTTAAATAACATCAGGGCCACCCATGGTGTACATATTTCAGCTGAGCTTCCAGACTAAGACAGACTAGGAAGAATGAGATAGTTTCTTCAACAAATGATGCTTACAAAACTGGAACTCCATTTGCAGAAAATGAAACAAGACCCATATATTGCACCATATACAAAATGAACTCAATGTGGATTAACAGCATAATGCAAAGTCTAGAACTCTAAAGATCATCAATGAAAAAAATAGGGACAAACTTAGGCCTCTGATAGATGGCATAAGCACACTATAAAACATAACTGAAAACACACAAACAGAAGACAAAATAGACGACTGGGATCTCCTAAAAATTAGACACTTAAGTGCATCAAAGGATTTCATCAAAAGGGTAAAGAGAACCCACAGACTGGAAAAAATGGTTGGTAAAAACATATCAGACAAATTCAAAGAACACTCCAATGTCTCAGCAAGAAGACAATCCACTTTAAAAATGGGCAGAGGATGTGAACAGACACTTCACCAAAGAAGACATTCAGGAGGCCAACAAACTTATGAAGAAATGCTCACAATCATTAGCCACTGCTGTTTTAAGTGCCATCGAGTTGGTTCTGACCCTTAGCCATTAGAGATGAAAATCAAAACAACAATGAGATATCATGCTACTCCAGCATTAATAGCAAAGTTCAAAAAAAAAAAAAAAAAACAGAAAACAACATGCTGGCAATGGTGTGATGAGACTGGGACCCTCCTACACTGCTTTGGGGCTTGAAAATGGTATAAGCTCCATGCAAAAATTGTATGGCGCTTTCCCAAATAATTGGAAATAGAAATACATGACCCAGCAATCCCTCTACTAGATATATATCCTGAAGAACTAAGAGCTGAGACATGACTAGATCTATGCACAGCCATGTTCAGTACAGCACTAGTCACAGTAGCAAAAGACAGCCTAAATGCCCATCAACAGAGGAATGGTTAAACAAACTTTACTACATACACACAATGAAATATTATGCAATGCTGAAGAATAATGATGAATCTGCAAAACACTTCGCAACATGGACGAAACTGGAGGACAAAATGTTGAGTGAAATTTAGTCAATTACAAAAGGACAAATATTGCATGAAACATTCTATGATGGTTATTGGGGCCTAGGGGTGGGGTATGGGGAGGGACTTTATGGACTAGAGAGAGGTTAGCAGGAGACACAGGGGAGAGTGCAAGAATTAAAGGAAATAGAGGTATACTGTTAACTGATGTACATGGAGGGGATTGCAGTCACTGAATGGAGCAAAGTTTTTGAGAGCTTCATTTGTTGACAGGAAACAACTCAAAATGAGAAGAATCATCTATAAACATCCACTAATATTCAGGATATGGAATGTACAAAGTATGAGTCTAGGAAAATTAGAAGCTATCAAAAATAAAATGGAACACATAAAGATCAATATCCTAGACATCAGTGAGCTGAAATGAACTGACATTGGTCATTTTGAATCAAACAATCAAAGGTGTTATTATGCCAGGAATGCCAAATTGAAAAGGAATGGCATCACATTAATTGTCAAAAGGAACATTTCAAGATCTATCTTGAAGTATAATGCTGCCTGTGATGGGATAATATCCATACATCTACAAGGAAGACCAGTTAATATCACCATTATTCAAAGTTATGCACCAACCACTAAAAGCTAGTGATGAGGAAATTTAAGAATTCTACCAAATTCTTCAGTCTGAAATGGATCAAACACACACTCAAGATGCATTGATTACATGTTTGATCCATTTCAGACTGAAGAATTTGGTAGAATTCTTAAATTTCATCAAGGTTGGAAACAAAGAGGAAGGATCCATAATTGAAAATTATGGGCTTGATACTAGAAACGATGTGAAATCACATGATAGAATTTTGCAAGATCAACAACTTATTCATTGCAAAGACCTTTCTAAAAGCGGCATAAAAGGTGACTATACAACATAGACCTCACCAGATGGAATACACAGGAATCAAATTGACTACATCTGTGCGAGGAAATGATGGAAAAGCTCAATATCATCAGCAAAACAAGGCTAGGGGCAGACTGTCAATTGCTGGAACAGACTATCAATTGTTCACATGCAAGTTCAGGCTGAAGATGAAGAAAAGGAAAATAAGTACATGGGAGTCAAAATATGACCTTAAATATATTACTCCTGAGTTTATAGACTAACTCATAGCAGCCCTCTAGGACAGAACGGAACTGCTCCTTAGGGCTTCCAAGACTGTAAATATTTAGGGAAGCAGACAGCCTCCTCTCTCTCCAGCTGAGCTGCTAGTGGGTTTGAACTGCTGACCTTGCAGTTAGTTAGCAGACCAATGCTGAACACCTACTTCATTTTGTTGTTGTTAAGTGCCATCGAGTCGTTCAGACACATAGCTACCCTGTAGAGAGTTTCCACGCAGCGGCTGGGCTGGTGAGTAAAGAGTCAACCTTGTGGGGCAGTTCAACGTTGTCACATAAGGTCGCTGTGAGTTGAGATCGATTCTACGACATCTAACAACATGGAAAGAGCTTAGCATACTGCTTCCTTGACGCATTAGTAATTGGTCGGTATATTAGGGCTATGAGCACTTAACATGCCAGGTGGAAATAGCATTTACCTGGCCATGAGGATCTTGAAAGCAACTTGCCACCAGCCATGGTGCTTTCTTCACATCCTGAGTCCCTGGCACACAGTGGGTGGTAAAGGCAACTTGAAAGGGTGATTCTGGAGCAATTCAGCCAGGAATTTGGGGTGGAAGGATGCCTGAGATCCACCTTCATCCAGATTTGACCCCTCCCACATGAGCGTGACCACGCCCAACCAGCCCACAGGCCAAAAGAGTGGTTGCCAGTCTTTAGCGGAGGCTGCCAGGGGCAGGCAGAAGGCGGGCCATGCCGGAGAATGCGATTGTCTTCTTGCGCTATGGACCGTACAGCGCAGTGGGCCTATCTGTGGAACACCACACCTTCCGCCTGCAGGGCCTGCAAGGTGGGTTGTCTAGAGCTGGTGGGTTGGACCCACCGAATCTGCCTCTCTCACCAAGTACAGGCTTTGCCTTCTACCTCCTTATTTGTCCTCAGACTCACATCAAGTGCCATCCCATCCATAAAGACTTTCTTGAGCCCGTGTTCCCTGGGGTGGTTATGATCTTCCTGGGTGTTTCATTATGAGAGTTGAGTAACCATGAACAGTAGGCATTAGGAACCTGGCTTTACAAATCGGGACACTGAGAATCCCATGGCTGGTAAATGACAGAGCTGAAACTCTGTCCCTTGATCACTCATTCATGCAAAGAAACTTTATGGAGAGCTAGCGTGGAATCTTAGCGTAGTGGTTACGAATCGGGCTGCGAACCTTAAGGTCAGCGGTTCGAAACTACCAGCCGCTCCGCGGGAGAACGATGAGGCTTTCTACTCCCGTAAAGATTTACACCCTCGGAAACCCTGTACAGGGTCGCTATGGGTCGGAACCGACTCGAGGGCACTTAACAACAACAACAACAGTGTGGAATCTTGGTGTGGTGCTGTAGGGTAAACACGGGACTACTAATCCAAAGGTCAGTAATTCGAACCCTATACTGTGTTGCTAGAAGTTGGAATCGACAGTTGTCACTTAACAACAACTATATATGTTGGGCACTCACCCAGGTCCTGAGGCCACACTAATGAACAAAGATGTATGTCTTTGAGGTAACCTCCACATTGACTACTAAATCACAATTGTGCCAAGGTGCTCACAGAGTAAAGGCTGTCATAGGAATGTAATCATAATGGGACCTGTGAACAGCTATAACTGGAGAGGAAAGGGATCTGGGAAGGGAATTGAAGCTGAGGTCTAAAGAATAGGTAGCAGTCCAAGTGGAGGAATTAATATTTGCAAAGGTTGGGGGTCACAGACAGGTAGGTGATGCCTTTGTTGAACTCATGGGGAAAAGTGGTCCAGGATGAGTCTAGAAAGTTGGACAGGGTCAGGTCATGCAAGTCCTTGAACTAACAGTTTTAGACAAAGAATGACACTGTGGTTACTGTGAAGAGAAGAAGTTGGGAGAGACCAAAAGTGGAAGTAGAAAGACTAGTAGAAGGCTGCTGGGGTGGTCCAGGGAAGACATGATAGTAGCTTCCACTGAGAGTATGGATATGGTAAAGAGAGTCACAGTCTCTGACTTGAACCAGTGCTGATGAATGGAGCTCAGAACACTGAAAACAAAACAGAATTTGGAGGACTATCTTCCATTATGGATGTATTAATCGCCATATACTTTCAGCTACCTAGGTAGTGCTGCACCAGCTCGGCAGTGCTGGAGTTCAGAGAAAAAGTCAGGAAGATAGAAATCCGTGGCTTGGAGAGAGCATATAGAATGAGAAGAGGGCCCAAGACTGAGCCTTGCCACACTCCACCATGTGAGTGAAGCTCAGGAACTTTCAGGAAATTACTGGTGGAGTCCAGAGGGGACAACAATTCTGAGCCAGCAATCATGAGTCTGTGGAAGAGTGGCATTGAGTTGGGTTTTGAAGGTGGGTAGGATTTAAATCAGCAGAAAAGGTTAATTTACTCTCTCTAAAGGCATAAGTCATTGGGACTCACAATTTTCTCAGCTAGCACAGTTGATGAAGAAATTTCTGTTGTAGAGAGTCCAGAGTAAGATGCATTGAGCCGACCCGCTGCAACAAAAACATGAGAGACATAGTGAGACAGATACAGATGGTGATTTTGGAACCCTAAGCATCAGAAACTAGGACAAAGAAGTGGATTAAGTGCCGACTGGAAGAAGAAACTGATCAAGAGCCATGAGAGAGAAGAGAAACTGACAGTGGGATGGCATGGTGCTGTGTGGCTGCCTTGAGCTTTGGTGAGCAACTGTTGATACAACAGCCTACAGACACAGGATGTGACTGGAGGTTTTTGGCAAGGGATGCAGTTCTCCCTTGCTCCCATGCCCTCCTGATAGCCAGGGTTGTGGTCAGTCCCTATCCTTGCCAACCAAGAGACCAGTGATACCCTCTCCTGAACAGCCTTGCTCTACCTGGGGTCAGACACCTGGCATAGCACCCCTGCTTCTGGAGGCATATGAACCCATCCTGAACTACACTACACAGTGAACAGAGAACTAACTGTATTCACACTTCAAGTCTCTACCAAACCCATCATGAGACAGGTGATGAGTGCCTAGAATACTCCAATATATAATCATCAACTAAATGTAAATACAACACCACACTGTCTCAGAGAAAAACATAAAATTTCAGTTTGCAGTTTACAAGATGGAGTGCCTGAAAAAAGTGGCTAAAATACAGAGTCAGAAAATTTAACACCAAAAGTGGTATTGGAACTACCTGATGAGGAATTTAAAAAAATGCTAACTAGGCAACTTCAACAGATTGAAAGAAAGATAGAGAAAACTACAGATGAAATCAAGGAAAACATAGACAAAGCTGTGGAAAGACTCAGGAAACAAACTGACAAAATAATTGAAAAATAGGAACCATTAAAAAAAATAACAACTAGAAAGCCAGAAGATTGCCACTAAGACTTCAGAAATAGATAATGCACTAAAAGGGCAAATAAATATAATTGAATCAATGGAAAGTCAAATTACTGAGACTGAAGAAAAATCTCTACTATTCACTTCCTAGAGGAACAATCAGAAAAAAGAACAAAAACATCCAAAGAAAGCATAAGATTTATGTGAGACACTTTTTTTGTGTCTAGAATTTCTAGAAAGAAATTCTAGAACAGAAAGAAACAAAATGCCCATAGAGAATATTGTTCAAAAGCTGCTGGAAGTACTCATTTGACCTAGCCTCAATGGCTTGATAATCAGAACTCGACTAGAGGAGGATAAAAACATTTTTTTTTTTTTTTTTTGGATAAAGGAAATGAGTGTGAATTGCTACAATTTGATGAACTTGACCTATACTCATGGATGTAGTAGCTCAAAATACCAACAGAGAGGGAAAAAATCTTCACATCAAGTATCAATCCTATCTCCTCTGTATACAGGGTAGATAGGGATGGACAACTTAGACATTGACTACCTAAAATGAGGGAGTGATAAAGGCATGAAGTGACTGACTTACAGGTTTTCAAGAGGGAGTTTACTTTAAGAGTGTGTGTGGGAAGATAGAGTCCCCACTGAATAGTTTTCATCTTGTCTAGATGGGCCTGGTGAAAAGAGATGGAGATAAGATTCTTATGATTCAATAGTTAAGTAATTGTTATCATGACTAATTGTGACTGTCACAATTGTAAAGATAGAAGTTTTGTAACAAAAACAGGGGAGTGGTTAATCTTACAGTCCAGAAACAGAGGACCCTAGGACCATCAAGGGAGAAGAGCACAAGCGGAATTCGGGATCCTATCCAGATAAGCAGTAATACCAGTATGGGTTGCACCTTAATGTAAAGAAAACAAAAAGCCTCATAACTGGGTTAATAAATAACATCATGATAAACAGAGAAAAGATTGAAGTAGTCCAAGACTTCATTTTGCTTGACCCACTATCAACACTCATTGAAGTAGCATTCAAGAAATCAAATGATAAGTTGCATTGGGCAAATCTGATGCACAAGTGTTCAAGAGCAAAGATGGCAGTTTGAGAACTTAGGTGCACTTGACCCAAGTCATGATATTTTCAATAGCCTCATAGACATGTGAAAGTTGCACAGTGAATAAGGAAGTAGAAGAATTGATGTATTTGATTTCTGGTGTTGGAGAAGTATATTGAAAGCACTGTTGTTGTTGTATATGCCATGGAGTCCTTCCAACCCACAGCAACCCTGTATAGGGCTTCCAAGGAGCCACTGGTGAACTTGAACCACTGACTTTGTGGTTCAAACTGACTTTGCAGTCCAGCACATTAACCCACAGTGCCACACCAGGACTCCACGGAAAGCACTAGGACTGCCAAAATAGCAAATGTGTGTTGGAAGAAGTACAGCCAGAATGCTCCTTAGAAGCCAGGTTGGCAACACTTCATCTCTCATACTTTGAACATATTAGAAGGGACCAGTCCCTACAGACAAGGACATCATGCTTGTCAAAGTGGTGGGTCAACAAAAAGAGGAAGACCCTCAATTATATTGACTGACATCATGACAGCAGCAATGGACTCAAGCATAGCAACAATTGTGAGGTTGTCGCAGGACCAGGCTGTGTTTCATTCTGTTGTGCATAGGGTTACTAAGAGTTGGAATGAACTTGACAGCACCAAACAGCAGGAGCTCTGGTAGCGTAGTGGTTACAAATTGGACTGCGAACCTTAAGGTCGGCAGTTCAAAGCTACCAGCTGTTTTGTGGGAGAAAGATGAGGCTTTCTGCTCCTGTAAAGATTTACAACCTCAGAAACCCTGCACAGGGTCACTGTGAGTCAGTGACTCCATGGCACATAACAACAACAACAAACAACATGTACTGACTACCACCATATTTGTATAGCCAACGGGGACCTCTTCTTGCCACCAGGATGTTTACTAGGTATCTCAGGCTTTACATTGGACATGAGCTTTACATTGGACATCAGACAGAACTCCTGATGCTTCCAAACCAACTCCTCCTGCATCTTCCCCATCTAAGATGACAGCAGCTCCTTCCTTTCAAGGGTGCAGACCAGAAACCTTGCGGCCAGCTTTTACACTTCTCTTCCTCTCATACTCTTCATTTAGTTTGCCAGCTAAACTTGTCAGTTTTGCTTGCCAACAGTGACCAGAATTCAACCACTTCTTGCCACCCATATCCCCCACTTCTATCCACCCATCTCTTGCCTGGTCTCCTCACCAGTACCTTGCCATTGCGCTTCTTTGTCTCCCTGCTGTTAGTTCTCAGCACCAAAGTCAGCTAATTTGTTAAGCTCAAGTCTTAACATGGCCCTAAGAACCTTCCAAGGGTTCCTAGGGTAGAAGTGAAAGGCTTACAGCGACTGGTGAAGCGTCTATGACACAGCTGGCCTTAGTCTAACCACCACCACTCTTCCCTCCCTCACTGGCTCTGCT